TCTCTCTCTCTCTCTCTCTCTCTCTCTCTCTCTCTCTCTCTCTCTCCTTGTCTTTCTCTCCCCTCTCCTTTCCTCTCTGAAATCAATAAAAATATATTTTTTAAAAAGGAAATATGGTTGACTCTTGAAGAATGCAGGGAGGTGGGGTGCTGACCTTCCACATAAATGAAAATCCATGTACAACTAACATATAGGGGAAAGAGGAACATGTCAAATGACAGACACCATGGGAAGATCAGCAGAATCCAGACCGTGGGAAACTCTACAGTTTCTTCATCAAATATATCACAAGGGGAACATGGGGAGGGGAGGAAGAGCCTGAGGATGAAAAGAGATCTAAGAAACACATCAAACTTTGGCAAAGTAGGGACCTTATTTGGACCCTGATTTAAAACAAAATAATGTTAAAAGTCAGAAATGTGTGCAGTGACTAATATTTGGTGATATGAAGCAATTATTATAATTTTAAGTGTGATAATGGTATGGCTATGTTTAAAGAAGCACCTTTCCTTTTAGAGATAATTACTGAAACTCTTGCAGATAAAATAAAAAGCACTTCACAAAATCACATGTACATTATGATCCTAACTCTGATAAAAGATGTATAGAATATAGGCCTAGAAAAAAAGACTGAAGGATAATATTAACAGTTGTCAATCTCTCTGTGTATCAGATACCATAGGACTCATTATGCTGCAGTAACACACAACACCCAAATATCAGGGGCTTACAACAATACATGTTATTTCTCACTCATATTGCATGTCCTTCACTGGGCTCTTCATTCCAAGACCCAAGACTTTGCAAAAGTCCTTAACTAAAGTATGCCAGTCTTGTGACAGGAGAAAAAGGATGGCTCTTAGCACTTTTGCTCAGAGGTGGTGCATGCCATCATTCCCACTCACACTGGGCTGACCATGTTAAGTCTTGTGGCAAAATTTGTTGTCAAGGAAACAGTAATCCTCCCACAGAAACTGGTCCCATAGCAATGGACAGCGAATGTGCTATATAAATAATATAAGGCACCCCACTTGCTAATAAGACTATGAGAATTTTTAAATTTTGTTTATTTACATACTTTTTATTTTATTTTTTTAATCCTCACCCAAAGAGTGAGGATATTTTTTCCATTGATTTTTAGAG